TTATTTTTTTAAGTAATCTCAACACCCAGTGTGGGGTTGAACTCACAACCCCAAGATCATGAGTCACACGCTCCAGCGACTGAGCTAGCCAGGCACCCCTCAAAGATTATTGACAGTGATTTTTCAAATTTTTCACTATAATTTCGTTCAACCAGATCACTTGAACTAATTCAAAGGGGCTCACATCTGATTGATGATGGCTCAGCTGCTTTTCCCATTTTGGAGATAATCTGTGTGATTCACCTGTAGACCTCAACTTCTTTGAGAGGTGTTTGGCTGGTATTTGGGACAGTCTTTGGGCACTGTGGTTTGGTGGTTAAGAGCGTGGCTGGATTCAGACGGGTCTAGGTAATGTCAGATTTCATCTCTGCCACTGATGAGCAGTATGAGTTGGCAGCCTCTCTATCCTTGCCAGGCATTAGTTTCCTCTGTAAAATAAGTGTCTCAGTAGAGGATTAAATGAAGCCTTTAATGAGATGCCTGGCCCTTGGTAACCTTCTCTTCAATATGGCCATTATGATTCTCTTAAGAGTTTGTTGGGTGGGGCTAGTGAGCACACTAGGGAACCTAGAAAGAAACTTGTTTGATTGGCCTCCTAGGGCATGGCAGAAGTGCTGGGTATAGACACCCTGTCCCCAGACCCCTCTGTTTCAGAAAGCAATGCTGGACACTCTTCAAAGGCCAGAACGGAGTATTTTGACCTTTGGCCTAGTGAGAACAAGAGAGTATTTCCCTCCTTTGTGTCCAGAGAAGACCTAGGTGAATTTTAGTTGACGGCAGATTTCTTAGACAGGCAGTATAGAATGAAAGAGAAGATACCTGGCTCCTTTTGGACTTGTGGATGTGAGGTGTGGTAAGTTGAGGCCTCCAAGGGGCCTCAGGCTGCCATCTTGACAAGTGATAGACCAGGGTGTGGGGCTCAAAGGGAGAGGGCCATGGTGTGAGGAGTAAGGAGTGGTGTGCTTAGGCAGGGCAGGATCCTGCTCCCCTGGTTATAATTACGGCCACAAGGCCTTGGAGATGTCCTCAAACTGTCCCACCCACCCTGCCCCCCATCCCCACCCTCAGTGCTATGGCTTCTCTAAGAGCTGATCTTTTGGGGCAGGAGGCCAGGAGGGCAGGTAACTAGAGCTGAGATTCTTTTCACTGCTATTCCTGGGCTAGGGCTGTACTTGGCAGGTGGTGCCAGGAATACCGGTGAGTCTGTTGAACTTCTGACCTCAGTGGCCAGATTAGGCCAGGATCTAGCCAAGGTTGTGTCCTCTTGCAGAACAGGGACTCTGCAAGTGTTGGCTGCTTGAGTGACCCAGGGGATGTGTAGGGGCAGGAGAAGGCAGAGTTGCTCCTGGGCTATGTGGGAAATAAGTGGGGATGGGTACGAGTGAGAGGAAAGAAGCGGTGCTGGGGTTTAAAAGACCATCTTCCCTGATTGCTTTTCTTTTTTCTTTTTTTTTTTTTTTTTTAAGATTTTATTTAGTCATTTGACAGCGAGAGAGGGAACACAAGCAGGCGGAGTGGGAGAGGGAGCAGAGCAGGGAGCCCGATGTGGGGCTCGATCCCAGGACTCTAGGATCATGACCTGAGCCACCCAGGCGCCCCTTCCCTGATTGCTCTTCATCCTAGTAGGCGTAAGGGAATGAGAGGTGGCTGGGGTGGGGGATCAAAATGCTGGGGTCTTGGGCTGCGACGGCTCTTGCCAGAGCCTTGGTAGCAGGTTAAATTATGGGAGATGGAGGTGTCTATAAGACCATGCTGGGAGACATGGCAAATGGTGAGACCCCTAAATGGTATCTATTTTTCCTCTCCCTAGCACGCCCACACTTCCCCAGAGTCCTGGGTGGAGGAGTGAGGCACGAAGGTCTGTGTGTCTGTGCCTGCCTGATGTAGGCCTGAGGCCATCGTCATCCCGGCCCCTCATGGGGCAGGATGGGGCAGGTGTGGCCACTCCTCCCTCACAGTGGCCGTGGCCTTACTTGGGAATCTGACGGCAGTGCTCCCAGCACTGTGCACCTGTCCAGCTGCAGGAAGTGTGGTGGACTGGGGGGGCCTCCACCCACTCAGCCTCCTTCTCAGGCTCTCTGGCAGAGTGGCTCTTGGAGCTGAGCCACAATAATCCGAGTTGCCTGCCACATGGCTCCTTCCAGGGCCCGTGGGGACTGTGGGTGCTGCTGCTTTCTCACAGTGCCCTGTGGGATCTGACTGGAGGAGCCCTGGGGGGCCTGGGTTTCCTGGAGCGGTTGCACCTCAGCCACCACCAGCTGGCCTGCTGCCTCTGGACTTCTTCACCACCCTGGGCTCTGTGCTCCTCCTGGATCTTTCTCACAACCTGCTTATCACCCTGGACCCCTGCAGCCTGTGGGGCCTGGGGAACCTGGAGCAGTTCGACCTGAGTTCCAACTGGCTGACCAAGCTGGGCACAGCCAGGCTTGGGTGCCTCTTCTGTCTACACTGGCTCTTGCTGGCTAGAAACTGCTACGTGTGGCCTGGCCACCATGCCAGGCCTGGAGGTCCTCTCTGGCTGGGAATGACATCAGTGAGCTGGAGGCTGAGGTTTCGGCGGCCTTGTTGGCGCTGGGCATCCTCTCTCTTGTAGACAACTTGTTGCCACATTCAATTTCAAGGTGACTGCAGATATCTGGATGGTGGGCATGTGGCTGCTGCTGGCCAATAACACCTGGGTGCAAGACTGCGACCTGCAGTGGGCCTTTGGGAAGCCTGGACGACCTGTGGCACTTGTGGGTGCCAACCTGGGCAACCTGACTTGTCCTGCCCTCAGCTGTTGGGGGGGGCGGTTGCTGAGCAATGTGGAGGCCCGGCTCTGCCTGTCTGAGAGCTACTGTGCAGGGTATCCTGGGCACCATGCTGGTCACTGTGGCTGTGGTCGTGGCAGAGTGCAAGCGCAGGCGGGGCTCCAGAGGAGCTGGGGAAGGAGAGCAGATAGAGATGTGGACGGCAGGTAGAGATGTAGACGACAAAAAGGGCTGTTCTTCAGAAGTCTTTCCAGCTGAGTTGTCACCCTGGGCAGGAATGGGGGTGGGGGACAAATGGCTGTGTTCCTCTGGCAGGGCCTCTGACCCTCCCACTCACCTATTCTCTGACCTAGCACAATGCCAGCATCTTTCCCAACCCTAGAAAGAGATTTGGCCCTTAGTATTTCTCAACAACCTTCTGGGGACTAGGGCAGTAGAAGGCAGAGACTGAAGACCAGAGGGAATTAGGGTGGGATGGGTACCAAGGGAAACTTCATGAATCCCAGTCTCCTGCCCCTCCCCACATGTGTCCCTGGCCGCTGCTGTTGCTAAAGTCATGAGGATGGTGGGATGGGGTAGGGGTATTGCTCCTGTGGGCACAACCCAGCCAGGCTCCTACAACTATTTTATGGGCGTACACCGTCCCAGTTCCGGTCCTCCTCAACACCTTAGCTCTTTCCTGAGGGCTGTGCATTCTTGTCACATTTGAATTGGGAATCGGTTGAAGAGATGGCAAAATAAAGCCAATTGAAAATTTGATTCTGTACTATGTGCCTGTGGAAAACTTACCTCATGTGGTTGTGACTGGTGTGTGGGGGGAGGTAGACAGAATGGCCTTTAATCCAGGTTTTTTCTCATTCCCTTCATCTGGACCTTCCTTTCCCCCACCCTCACCCCAGCATATATGTACACAATCCCATTTCCTAGATTTTGCATGGAGATATCTTTCTCTCACGTTTCTGTTATGCCCAGGCTTTATCCCAGTGACTATGAAAAATAAGATGTGAGAGGTGTTTTGTGTAGCTTTTACTGGCTGAGTGGGAATTTTTAATTCACTTGAGGCTCCTCTCCCCACCCCAGGGAACGGGAAGCAAACAGACCTGAATTAAATAGCCTGGTGGGAAGGCTTGTGGAGTCTTAACTTCAATATTGGAAGATGAATTTGTGTTTTGCCAGGTGGTAGGGGCTGCAGGAAGATAGTGGCAATCCTGGAGTGCCCAGAACTTTCACCCACTTATTGAACAAATAATTACAGAATACGTACTCTGAATGAGACCTAGTGGCAACATCTTTTGTTCATTTCTCTATTTATTTTTTAAAGATTTTATTTATTTGACAGAGAGAGACAGCAAGAGAGGGAACACAAGCAGGCGGAGTGGGAGAGGGAGAAGCAGGCTTCCCACTGAGCAGGGAGCCCAATGCGGGGCTCGATCCCAGGACCCTGGGATCATGACCTGAGCCGAAGGCAGACGCTTAACGACTGAGCCACCCAGGCGCCCCTCATTTCTCTACTTAGCATGTATTTCCTGAATGCATCCCATACACTATGCCGTGAGGATATAATAGTAAACAAACCAGACACTGTCCTTGCCCTCATGAAGCTCACAATCTAGGGTTAATCTGGTTGTTAACAAAGAATCTAAAATACATAATTACCATTGTGCTGAGGGATTCAAAGGAAGGGTACCTGATGTTAGGGAAACATAAAATAGGGGAGCTAAGAATTAACAAGGAGGCCAAAGAAGAAGCTGGGGAGGCCAGTTAGAAGCCTGCTGTAGTTAAACCAACAGAAGATGGTAGTTAGCTGGAGCATTGGAGCTGGAGAGGATAGACTGATTTGAGATGTCCCATGTGTCCACATCAGATCTTGCTCTTCTCTCAAGGGACAGAGGGAAGACAGACCCAGACCAAACTTCTCTACAAGTGACTTAGCCAAGAGAACACCTTACTCTGAAATTAAACAGAAGTAGAGAGATTTTGTGTGTGTGTGTGTGTGTGTGTGTGTGTGTGTGTGTGTGTTTACACTATTTATCCCCTACTATGAGCTGGTACCAACACTGCCACATTTAAACCTCTTAACAACGCTGTGAGGTACATGTCCTCTCCATTTTACAGATGCGTCTTAGAAAGTGCAGGCCCAAAGTCCGTTAGGGTTGCAGTTAGAATTGGAGCCCAGGTTTAGCAGCAAAGACTAGTTCGCCCACGGTTCTGATAACCTGAACCCACTGTTTCTTCCTCTAGTCTAGTTTTCAATTTTGGAGCCACGAGGAGGGATCCTTAAGTCCCTGAGCAGAGGGAAAGGCTGAACTCCGCAGCTGGAACACATCCTTCAGGCCGGAACTAGAGAGCGAGAGCATTGTTTCCCGTCGGAAGGGAAAAGTGATGCTCCTGCCCCACACCCCCGCCGCTTCGCGACACCCGGAAGTTGCGTGTTCGCATCCCGGCGCCGGCCTCCCTGTCAGGGGTGAAGCCGCAGCGGACTGCCCTTCCCCAAGATGGCGACGAAGATGGGTTCGCGACGGTGGATGCTGCAGCTGATCATGCAGCTGGGTTCGGTGTTGCTCACACGCTGCCCCTTCTGGGGCTGCTTCAGCCAGCTCATGCTGTACGCTGAGAGGGCCGAAGCTCGCCGGTGAGCGGGCCCACGCGGCCGCCAAGCGCGGTGGGGGCGGTACGGCCCGTCCCAAGAACGGGGGTGCGGTGAGGTGGGGAAGAAGGTGGGACCCTTGGGCTGGGGAAGAGTTAGGACCTTGGGCTTGTTAGGGGCTCTGGTCTGGGGCAAGGTGGGCATCGAGCGTAGTGCAGGGGTCCTGGCCGTGAGAAGGGCCTCCGGTTCAGGGGAGCCATGGAGCTTGTGGGAACTCAAGGGATCGTAAGGGCCTTCTCCCGCTTCATTCTGTCCTCGTTGCTTCTTCCCCTATCCGGCTCGCAGGAAGCCCGACATCCCAGTGCCCTACTTGTACTTCGACTTGGGGGCGGCCGTGCTGTGCGCCAGCTTCATGTCTTTTGGAGTGAAGCGGCGCTGGTTCGCGCTGGGGGCCGCCCTTCAGCTGGCCATTAGCACCTACGCCGCCTACATCGGGGGCTACGTCCACTACGGGGACTGGCTGAAGGTGAGCACCTCGGCCCAAAGCGGGACTTCGCTAGGGGGATGGGGAGCCCGAGGCCAGTGCCCTGTGCGGCGCCGCAGTTGGGAAATGCATGGTGCATAGTGTGAAGCCCGGGAAGGCAGAACCCCCAGGCTTGTGGAGATTATTACAGACTGCAAGGATGAAAGGACCTTAGAGACCACACAAGACTGCCTTTCAGAGTGTGAAAACTGAGGTTCGAAGGCGAGAAACAGACTTTCCCAAGGTCATACTACAGTTAGCATTGCAGGTGAGACCAGAACCCTTTAAACCATTAGTTTAGTAATGTCACACTGTAGGGCTAAAGGGACCTTGGAGAGTACCGGTTCCAACCATCTGATCTTATGAAATTTAATTAATTTAGTGCAGCATGTAAACGTGAAAGTGCCAGAACCTGTGCCAGGTGCTGCAAGCTTGTAGATAATCCTGGACAAAGGCAGGGACTGTCAGTCCAGTCGGGGAGGCAGATGTGTGAACAGCTACCAGACAGTGGGATCGATGGTTTTTTCATGGGACAGACTATACTTTATAGCAGAAAGAACACTGGGATTCGAGTCTGTACACTTGGAGGTGCAGAGGGGGCAACTCTTGGTGTCTGGGTTCTGCCACTTTCTGTAGGACCTTGGACATTTTTAGTAACCCCTCTGGGCCTCAGTTTCCACTGCTGATAAAAAGAGTTCTCTATCTCTGCTGCACCTGCCCACCACACTTGGAAATTGTAAGAGGGTTCATCAGATGGAATGGGATGTATAGAGATGGGCACTTCTGTGCTCTGGACAGCCAGGAGAAATGTGGTGGCTGCAGTTCCTGACTGGGGTCCCCTCACCTTGGTCCAGGTCCGTATGTACTCGCGCACAGTTGCTATCATCGGCGGCTTTCTTGTGCTGGCCAGCGGTGCTGGGGAGCTGTACCGCCGGAAACCCCGCAGCCGCTCCCTCCAGTCCACCGGCCAGGTGTTCCTGGGCATCTACCTCATCTGCGTGGTAGGTTGGGGGGCTGTTGGCTGGAAGTGCTTGCCTGGGAGTGAAGTAGAACCCAGGGAGGTGGGCAGAATAAGGCCTTGCATGTAGTTCCTGACGGTCTGCCTCCTGGGAACTGCCCCAGCCAGCTTTTGGGCCTCAGAGGCCCTTCAAGTGCCTGAGACCTGGCTGAGAGTCCCTTCTTCCAGCATTATTGCCACCAGGGAGAGAAGAGTTTGGATGGACCATTCAGTCCCAAGCCTGAGAGGAGAACAAGGTGGACTGGTCCTCTCATGGCTCCAGCCCCCAGAGGACTGAGAGAGGGGGCAAAGGAGAGGTTTGGTGGGGTTCAGACCCCAGATGGGGCTCTATCGCTTAGAGTCAGTGGGGGTTGCCTAGGGTAGCAAGTTATGGTACTCCCTAGTGGAGGACCTAGGCCAAGCCGGTGTGGATGGGGACCTGGACAGGCTCCAGGTCACTTGGCTTCATCTTAGTTACTGGGCACCATATCCCATGTGCAGAGCTCTGTATTCAGAGGTGAGAGCCCCAGTCTGGCAGTGGAGACACACTTCTGCCCTCCTGAGCCCCGAAGGTGAGGAGAGCCAGGCCCTAACTCCATGAGCTCCCTAGTCTGGGGGCGGGGGGAGATGCAGGCCCTCCTCTCCAAGAGCCCCAACTCTGAGCCGGGAGTCAGAAGCCCACCTTGCAGAGGCAGACTTGCAGGTGCCATCTCAGGGGCAGCCATCCCCAGACAGGCTCCTCAGCCCGCCGGAGAGACTTAGAGGATGGTGTGTCTTTAGGCCTACTCACTGCAGCACAGCAAGGAGGACCGGCTGGCCTATCTGAACCATCTCCCGGGAGGGGAGCTCATGATCCAGCTGTTCTTCGTGCTGTATGGCGTCCTGGCCCTGGCCTTCCTGTCAGGCTACTACGTGACGCTGGCTGCCCAGATCCTGGCCATACTGCTGCCCCCAGTCATGCTGCTCATTGATGGCAATGTTGCCTACTGGCACAACACACGGCGCGTTGAGTTCTGGAACCAGATGAAGCTCCTTGGAGAGAGTGTGGGCATCTTCGGGGCCGCCGTCATCCTGGCCACTGATGGCTGAGTGGCATGGCAAGAGGCTGAGATGGGCGCAGGGAGCCACCGAGGGCCACCCTGCCTTCCTCCTTGCTGGCCCAGTTTCTTTATGCTTTCTGCTCTGTTGGTTTGGTTCTTTGCTGTTTGTATATGTGTTGGTAAGAGGCAGGTCTCTTCCCCGGTGCCTGGGCTCAGCCCTTGGGGGGGTGGGAGCCCTGATGATGATGCCTTACCGGGGTTTTTCCTGTTCGTTAGTAGGAGACCTGAGGCCAACTGCTCCCTGGGTCTCCTGTCTCAGAGAAGGGAGTAAGGCAGGGCTCGGGTGGGGGTACTGAGAGTGGGAGACAGAGAAAGGAAGACCGTGAACTGGAAGTGAGCAAATGTGAAAAACTCCTTTTTGAACCTGGCGAGTGCAGCTAGGCTCTATAGTGCTGTTTGGAGACTGAGAGTGAGTATGTGTGTTGACGCGGGGATTGGGCTGGGAGGGGCCGAGAGGCCGGGCACCACAGAAGTCACGTGAGTTCTCAGGGTATCCCAGGGGCAGAAGAAGCACTAGCTGTCGCCCCACCTTGAAAGCAGAGCAGGCCCCAGTCTGGGGGTGCAGGGGTAGGGTAGGCAGTGGCCAACTTCCTGTCTCCTGCCTCCTGTTTCCAGCTCTATGGTTGGCCTGGTTGGGGTGAGTGCCCTCCCAAACACCAGACCACACAGTCCTCCAAAAATAAACATTTTATATAGACATTTGGCTTTGCTTCTATGTTCTCCCCACAGGGCATGTTGCCATTGGCTGGGATTGATCTTGGGTTTCTTGAAAGACCACATCTGGTTAAGCCCCACTTTGGTCCTCCCGTGACCTCTGCCCTGTTCTGAGAGTTCCCGCAGGCCTTTGGCTCTCTAGTCAAGATCCTCCCTGTAGTCTGCTCTTGACCCATCCCCTCAGTCCGTGTGTCATAGCTTGTCTTTTCCTCCCCTTTTATCCTCCTGGCTTCTTTTGAAGAAATCTTTGGTGAGGGCAGCTAGAGGGTGGGGGGGGACTAACATTAAGTGTCCACTATGAGGATTCTACATCTTACAGATGAGGAAATGGAAGCTCAGAGAAGGCGAGCAGCTTACCTCAAGGCACAGAGCAAATGTAGCCACAGCTGGGTTCCAGGTTGGGCCTATCTAATGCCCACACACAGTGGTGCACTCTGTCACCCCTCTCCTAAGGGAAGTCAGAGGCTGCTCCTGGGGTCTGGTTCTGTCGTGGCCCCGTTGTGCCACGATGGTCCTCTCTGTACTTGTCCATGCGCCTCCTGATTGAAAGTAGTCCAGCGACCAGTATGGGGGCCTGGCACATTGTGGGGGTCAAAAATGCAGAATGAAACCTCTGGCTTTGGACTCCTGCGGGCTGAGGTGTTCTCTTTCCACAAATGGAGACAGCCTCCAGCGGGATCGAGGGGAAAACATCCAAGTCTGGGCCTTGCTTGGAAAGAGAGCTGGAGCTGCCTTTGGTCTGGTCTGTGGGATGGAGGGGAGCCCCTCTGGAGGGCTGCTGACACCCAGGTCAGGGAGACAGTGACAGCATTCATCTTGGGGGCACTCCATCTCATTTAGCTCTTCTCTTCCCTCTGGGAGCCCCCTGGTTCTCCAACCCTCAAGATCTTGCTCCCAGAAGGTCACTGCTCATTCCTTTCAAGTGTGAGCTGACTCTCAGACAAGTATTTGTGTTTTAATCAAGGCCTCCTGAAAATTTGTAAGACCCAAAGGAATTAAAATAAGTGCTGGAATATCAAGCAAATGGGGGTGATATTTTGGGCAAGGGAGCCTCAAAACAGAGGCCACAGAAATTGGCCACCTTTAAGGTTATCCCTGAGTAGAGCCCTGGAAGGCAAGCCCCCCACCCTCACCTCCCATATCTCTAGACTGAAAATTGAAGGCCCCCGGTTATAGCTTTGGAGCCAGTGGTGAGGGTGGGGGAGGGCTGTCTGGGTCACACCCTTCTTCCTGTGCTTGTCCCCACTTGGGCGCCCCCCTCTGGGCAGAGTAGAGTGGGAGCTGCTTCCTCTGCACATCACTTAGCCGTCAAGCCTGGTCCAGCCTGTGGCTGCCTGGGATCACCTCCCGCAGGCATGGCTTTTGGTTCACCCTGGTTGTCCCAGGGCCTGCAGGGTGGGCGGTGAGGGTCAGCTGCCGGGGTCAGAAGCTGGTTTGCAGAAAGAGTCCGGCAGCCCCTTGGCATGGTTGACCAGCTCATAAGAGTCCCGGATATCAGCCAGGCCAAACCAGAAGAAGATCCACTGCTTGTTGGAGAAGCTGCCATCACTGTGTTTGAAGTACCTGGTGGGGGGAAGGGGGCAGCTTTTAGGGCAAGGCCAGTGCTCACTACTCACTGGTTATTTTGAGGACCTACTACATGCCAGACACCCTGATATTACTGGTTTCATCCTTACAGCAGCAGCCAGGTGTCTGGTGGTGGCTTGCTCTTTTCCCAGAGAAGCAGCTAAGGCTCAGAGAAGTTAGTTGACCTGCCAGAGTCCCAAAGCTAGGAAGGTTAGACTGAGGATGTCCTTTGCTCTCTGTGCCTCCAGGGGAGGGGTTCTTGTTCACCTCTTGGTCCCCACAGAGCTGGATGAGGGGATAGTTGCAGAAGGGAAGAGAAAGGAGAGAATGTTTCGCTGGAGATGCAGTGGCCCTGGGGTCAGCGCTTGGCAACTGGGCCTGGAATAGAACCTGGAGGGTCAGGATTTTTGAGGACTCTGGGAGAGTTCAGGAGTGTCTTCAAGGAATCCACTGCCATGGGGCAGAGCATGTTTAAGTGTGCTCTGCTTCTGGGGAAATCTCAGACTCCGTGGGTGGTCTGCCTCCTGGGGAATGTGGGGCCACACTGAGTGGGGCCTTTTTCTTGGGGGAAGCCGGGCCTTCCGGGGGTGTGGCTTTGGAGACCTGGGGCTGGGGTGGGAGCGGGACCTACCAGGGATTGATGGGGTTGGTGACCCGGGAGCGCCAGAAAAGCGTCTGCAGGTCCCGCCGCAGGCACTCCCACAGCATCTGGCCCGAGCCTTGGCCCTGGCGGCTGGAGCTCACCACAAACTTGTCTAGATATGGGGTGCCCCCCAGTACGGGCTCCGTGGTCAGAATGGCAGCCGCATTGTACCTGGCGCAGCAGGGGAGAGGCAGGCTGGGACCTCTCCTTGGCCCCAACCTGCCCAACTCTGTCCCTTGGTCCCTGCCTTCCAGGGCCCGCAGGCTCACCCCTCAGAGACGTAGACAGAGTGCAGCCGCGGGCGCAGCGAGGCCAAGTAGTCGTCTCGCAGCTTCTTGCCGAAGCTGGCGTTGACCAGGTTCACCAGGCGGCCCTGGTCCAGGCTGTCCAGGCTGCGCACCCGCAGCATCCGATCGGCGTTCTTGAACAGGGTCCCGGACCCTGGGGGTGGCATGGAGGAGGAGGGGTTAGTTTAGCCCAAGAGCCAGGTCCTATCCGTTCCTGCATTTGCCCTGCCTGGTGGGGGGTCCAGATACGACGGGGGGGGGGGGGGGCAGTGACCCTCTTTGTAAGATCTCCACAATGAAGTGATTTCTGTGGTCGGCATAGATATGTACATGATTTTCACACAGGGAGATGCTTTCCCCTGGCAGTTTGTCCCTCAGCTTCCGTCCATCGTCCGGAGTCCCACCTACTTCCCCTAGACCCGCCTCCCTCCCCCGAAACCGGGTCTCGCTGGTCTCCGCCCCCCCCCGCCCCCAGGCGCGGCCCTCACCCTTGTTGCTGAAGAGCTCGGTGAGCAGCGTGCTGGCGGCGGTGATGGCGGCCGAGGAGTGGTGCGGCAGGCGGCTGAGCACGTCCACGATGAGCCGCACCTGCTGCCGCGCCTTAGTGCTCACCCACTCGGCGTTGGTCACCAAGTCCAGATCGGCGGGCAAGTTCACCTTACTCAGGACCTGCGTCCGGGCGGCAGGGGGTGAGCCTCTGGCCTGCAGCCTGCCACGAACTGCGCCCCTGCCCCACGGACCCTTCCTCACCGACCCCTTTACCCTCACTTCCTCCCAGAGTCCTCGGCCAGGGAGAGTTCGGATCTGGGCCCCACGCCGCTCCCCACCCACCCGGCTTGAGGATGACTCTGGGGCCCGTCTGGGAGGCGAGCAGGGAGCACGAGAGGGGCTCATCCAGGCCCGGAGTCGCGGGAGTGGAGCCCGTAAGGAGGGGACACACCTTTTGACTGCTGTCGTGCAGGCCTCCTGTGTTATTGAGGAAGATGATTTTGGTGGGCTGTAGCGCCTTGGCTAGAGCCGCGGTCACCTCCAGCGAGTCCAGGAGCACACAGCGGCGGGCGGTCGTCTCCCCAATGGGGCACAGGATGGGGATGCTGCCGGACTCCAGGCACCACTGCAGCAGGTCGGTCTCCACTGAGACGATCCCGCCGTAGCTGTGGGCCAGACGTGGTGCTCAAGAGGGCCCCCTCCAGGCCTGCCGGGCTCGGGCAGGGCGCGCGGCGGAGCGGGTCCAAGCACGCTGGGCCAGGCGGGGCCCGCACTAACCTGGCATGAGGGGCTGGCTCCGCGGCTCCCAGCACTGAGCCGCCGCCAAAAAAGGGCACGGCAGTGGCGGCGTTGTGCCGCAGCTCATCCACCAGCACCTTGCAGTTCTGGGCAAGCTGTGCCTTGGCCTCCCAGAAGGAAAGGCAGCCGGAGGGCGCGGTGGGCGCGGGCAGCCCGAGGACTACCAGCGGCTTCATGTCCATGCGCTGCAGGAATGCCAGGGCGAAGGCCAGGCTGGATACGGCCTGACTGCACTTGAGTACCTCCTCGTCCACCTGCGGGGGAGGGCGTGTTCAGGAGGGCCAACGCTGGCTCTGACTCCTGCAGCCTGGCCCCCCGGGGCCCTGTCGGTGCCCCTACCGTGCCCAGGAGCAGTCAGGCCCCATTTCTGGCTAAGGGCGCCCACCTGCTCCGCCCTTTGCCCCGTTGGGTCTTGCCATCCCCTTATCTCACATTGGTGTTCCTCCCTCTGTGCCTCCCGGCGACCTTGGACTCTCTGACTTCTTGGGGGGAGGGGTGACCCAGGCGGCTCCTGTCCAGGTTCCCCACTTGCCATCTGAACCCCTAACTGCGCCCATGGTCGGGGTGGGTACTTCTCCAGCGCATCACACTTAGCGGATTAGGGTCCCCGTTCTCCTCGCCTGGGCTGGGCGTGAGACTATTGGAGCAGCGCGCAGCTTCACCCAGTCCCGGGCACTCGTCCGGGCACCGTCGCACCCCTTCCCGCTTCCGCTGTGCAGAGTCCGAAGCCGGTCCCGCCATGCCTGGCGACACGTCGCCGTACAACCCCCATCCATCCCCTCGCTGTGACATGGCCGGCGCCGGGCTCCGCTCACCTCGATGACCGCGAAGGGCTTGTTGGCGGAGTGGTAGCAGGTCTGGAACTGCGTGAGCCAGTGGCGCGCCTCCCCGGGGCTGGCTCCGCACTGGTTCAGAAAGGCCTGGATGTCCCGCTGCACCAGCGAGCGGCCGGCTGGGGGCCCCGGGGAGTCGGGAGGGACCGGGGGCGCGGGGGGCGGCGTCCACTCCGGCTCCTCCGCGGCAGGCGAGTGGGTGTCGTCCTCTGCGCCGTCGGTCCCTTCTCGTGCGGCCTGGGCCGGCGCCCAGGCGGTGCTGAGCCGGCGCCCCGGGCTGGCACCCCTGGCCGCCCGCCGTCGCGCGCTGCCGCTCAGTCTCCGGGCGCCCCCAGTGCCTCGGGGACCGCGCAGCCTTCCTCCCGCAGAGGTGACCCGTAGGGCCCAGGCCAACCGCGCCGTCGCCATGACAACCAGACCGGCGGGGGCCCCCTCCCCCCCGCGAGTGCGCTTCTGTCCGCAGCTCCCGGCTCTGGGGGGCTCTTAACCTGCTGCAAGGCGGGGCTGGGCCAGCCGCGGCGGGGCGCGGACTGGGGGCGCAGAGTCGTCTCTGGGTGCATTTGAGGAGGGACAAGCCATGGGTCGGAGGGCGGGGCCACCAATATACCCCGCCCCCGTGCGGGGGGGACGGAACCCACTAGTGCGGGTCACGAGGCAGAGATAAGTGATGGCGGGGTGTCTTTCATCTGCTGCCAAGGCCGGTTCCAGGAAGGGCTCAGGGGACCCAGGGTGGCTTTGGCGGTCTGCGGGGTTCAGGATGATTAAACGGGAGTGTGAGGAGGGCAAGAGGGGAGAGCAAGTGGCGGTTACCCTGGGACTGAGGGAGGAGACTGCAAGGAGAGGTGGGGAGGAGTGGAAGGAGGGTGGAGGTGTGCCAGCTCTGCTGGAGGGCGGGGAATGCCTCTATCCTATGATCTGAGCTCCAAGAATATTGGAATCATGAGGTTACCAGGGTTGTCCAAGCTCCAGACCCTGGGTACCACTTTGAAGAATTTTGTCATAGTCTCAAATCACCCCTTATTATTTATTTTATTTTATTTTACTTTTTGCTTTTATTACCTTGTTTGAAATTAGGCCATAAGCTATATGCCAGACTATAAGCACTGTGAGGCCAGCTTCGGTGTTCCTTTTCCTCCTTTTCCCAAACATATGCCCCCTTCCACTAAGACCAGCATTCAGATCCAATGGGAAAGGTAACCGGAGGGTAAATCACCCCTTATTAGTATTAAGGTTCTTAAATTTAAAATTTATCCCTGTCAAGATTATAACTAGAAAACCAGTATCACTTGCTATCAACAGAAGAAAGCCTTAAGAATAAAGCCAAAACAAAATGTTAAGTTCCAGCTGGCTAGTGTTGCCTGCTCTCTTGGTAGCACAGAAGGCTACCAAGTACACAGTGTCAGAAGCACCCTGGCAGCCTGGGAGGCTTTCTCCTGACCTGTGGAACACCAGGCCCTGTGCAGAGCACTTCACATATAGTAACTCATTTCATCCTCACAATGATGCCGGGATGGGTATTATTATTCTGCCCGTTTTATAGATGAGGAAATCGAGGCACAGAACTCTGTGAGGGCCAAGGTCATTGGGCTCATTAACAGTGGGGCTGTTCTTTGAAGCAAAGCAGTTCTGCTTCTGATGCGTGCTCTTAAACAAGATTTGAAAAGGACTTGAAAACTTTCCCAGGATGTGATTCACTGTGACTTGATACTATATCCACCTGCTGCCAGAAAGCGCCCAGTACACTATCCATTGTACACATCCTGCAATCCTGTGCTCCCGTACGGTGCTGGAGCCCCCCCCCCCCCACTCTGTCACTATAGAGGAGGAAAGCAAGTGTGGAGGAGCAGTGACTTGGCCAAGGTCACATAGCTGGTAGTGTAATGGCCAGATGCTAGGCATCCAAGTTCTCACCACTGCTCTTTTCTTCCTCCTCTGCAGTTCTGTGCTCCCTGTGCTGGGAGTCAGGACTCTTGGGGCTCTGCCTGAACGGTGAGCAGTGGCCTGAGCTGCTTCTCTCCTGAGCATCCCAGAGGATGCTGGGTGAGCACACCAACCCCTTCCCAGCATCCCCTGCCAACACACTCAGGCATGCACCAACACGTGTGCACACACAGCACACGCATGCACTATCCCAGGCAGGGGACTCCTGGCAGGGGTTGGGGGAGCTGACCTTTGTGACCTGGTCCACTAACTTTTCCATTTTCCTACTTAGAAATCCTGGGTTCCAGTAGAGAGGGAAGCATGGAAGGTCTGTACCCCCTACTCTGTGGGGTCATCTCTAAGGCCTTCTTTCTCTTCCCAGTTTACTGCGGGCCCACCCCCTACTTCCCTACACTTCCCAGAATCCACCAGAGGAGGTGGTCCTAGCTCCTGGGGGATTAATCATTTTCCAAGCCCCTCAGCGTTCCCACCCTCCCTGGCCCCTCTCCACTCAGGATTCCTCCTGCTCCGTCTCTCTGCCCCAGCTCTGGCCTCTCTTCACTCCTTCTCTCCCAAATGTATGCCTCTCCCAGGCCCTTTCCCCCTCCTGCCAACTCAGGGCCTCTGTGAGGGCAAGGCTGTCTTCTCCCTTCGGACTGGGGCTCCCTGAGGGCAGGGCTGTTTTCTCCCTCCTCAGACCAGGGGCCCACCCATTTCAGTAGCCAACAGCATCAGCCCCATTTTCCCTGGGCTGGTGGGGCAGACAGCGGCTGGGGAGCTGCTTCCCCCTGCTTTGGGCTTTAGCCCAGAGGGCCGTGTCCCCAGGCAGCCAATGGGCCCAGGGATACCCTGAGTAGATGATTAACTCCAGGTCCAGTGACCCTGGGGCCACTGTGTCCCCACTGCCTCTCCCTGGGGGAAGGCCAGCCTCTGGTTGGAGAACTGGCCCTGCTTTGTGGAGGAGATGAGTGTGGGTGTATGAGGTCAACACCCCTACCTGACCCCACCCCTCTGAATTAAAGGCCTGCAGGATCCCTGTGGGTCTGTGGTTCCAGCTTGAATTTTCTTTGTTCCCCTCTGAAGCAGGCCGTCGTTGTGTTTTTCAGAGCAAATCTTGCTGTCAGTGTGCCCAGAATCAGGATCCTGTCTTCTCACCAGGCCCTGGGTCATGGAGATGCTGGGATCAGACACAACCTTCCAACCCCTCCAGATACTTCCCCTCAGCACAGGCCGCAGCCTTGAGCACAGGAGCTGGTTTGAAGGGCCAAGGCTGTCCCTCCTACTAAAGCCCCCCTCGGCTGCCACTCAGGACAGGTGGGCGTGGAAGTGACAGGAAGCCGGGCAGGTGAGGGGACAGGGGTGACAGCTGACGGTTCCAATCACAGCACCTGAGGGGAGATACACACACACACACACACACACACACACACACACACACACTACATACAGAGTTACAAGCAGACCCCCCTCCTGAGGTCATACTCATCTACCCACATAGAGGCACAGAGCCATACTCATTCACATGCTGTAATGGTGTCTGCCATGGGCGAAGTGGCCGGTAAACACTGAATGAATGAATGAAGAGAAGACAGAAGGAAAGACGTAGGGCCCTGTGGAAAGGGAAGCCTGGCTCTGTGGACTATCATGGGATTGGCCCTAGGACTTCCCAGCAGCCCCAAGGTGGCCCTCTCCGTCTGTGAGGAGGAAGAGCCCAGTGGAAGAGTACACAGACCTCGGTCAACCACCGTTTTGTGAGCACATACTATGTGCCAGGTCGTGAATGGGGCGCTCTGAGCATGCCGTCCCATTTTCCCTGGCTGGAGGTCAGGAGGCCTGGCTCTGCCACTTCCTTGGCTGCAAAGGTTTGGGCAAGGCATTTAACTTCTCTGGGCTCCCGTTTTCTCACTTGTAATAAAGGGGGGAAAGAGAATAAAACTTAATCTCACTGCATAGTAGTGAAGATGAAAAGCTCTCCATGGGCATGCAGTCAGCCAATCCACACCGTGGGAAACTATAGGGCAAGCAACCTGGTTTCTTCAACAAATGAATTACAAGGAAAAGAGTAGGAGAGAGGAGGGAGGAATTAAATGAAAAGATGTATTTTTTAAAAATATTTTATTTTAAGTAATCTCCACACAACCCTGAGATCAAGAGTCACATGCTCTACTGAAGCCAGCCAGGTGTGCCAAAAAGACAGACAGACAGACAGATAGATTTGAAAGAGAGAGAGAGAGAGAGAGAGAGAGAGTGCAAGCCAGGGGAGAGGCAGAGGGAGAGAGAGAATCTCAAGCAGACTCCACACTGAGTGTGGAGCCTGATGTGGGGCTTAATTCCACGACCCTGAGATCATGACCTGAGCCAAAATCAAAAGTTGGCGGCTTAACTGACTGAGCCACCCAAGTGCCCCCCCAAAAGATGTATTTTTATTTTATTTTATTTTATTTAAAAATGATTTTATTTATTTTTTTGAGAGAGAAAGTGTGAGAGAGAAAAAGAGATCACGAGCAGGGGGGCAGGGTAAGAGGGAGAAGCAGACTCCCCATGGAGTGGGGCTCAATCCCAGGACCCTGGGATCATGGCCTGAGCCGAAGGCAGACACTTCACTCACTGAGCCACTCAGGCACCCCTCGAAAGATGTATTTTTTTAAAGATTTTATTTATTTATTTGACAGAGAGAGACACAGCGAGAGAAGGAACACAAGCAGGGGGAGTAGGAGAGGGAGAAGCAGGCCTTCCCGTGGAGCAGGGAGTCCAATGTGGGGCTCGATCCCAGGAACCTGGGACCATGGCCCGAGCCAAAGGCAGACGCCCAACGACTGAGCCACCCAGGAGCCCCAAAACATGTATTTTTAAAGTCTCTTTTAATCCTTATTTGAATTCTGAATCAAACAAGCCATAAAAAATGAGACAATTGGAAAAATTTGACCACAAAGGATATTTGATATATTAATTTTTAGGTGTGCTATGATTGTGTGTCATGTTTTTAAAACTACTCCATATAGTGTGCATCCTGAATATTTATAGATGGAATGATAAGATGGCTTGCATTTAGTTCAAAATAACCCTGGAGGGGAGAAACTGGGGGTGGGGGGACAGATGCAGTAAGACTCGCTCTGAGTCAGGAGTTGGTATTTGTTGAAGCTGGACGATGGGCACAGGGGATTCATTATACTATCTATCCACTGCTATGTATGATTGGACAAATGAGAAAATTCAATGAATTCCCGTAGGAGCAAGCTACCAGTCTGACAGGTAAAACACTCCATAAAAGCGAGCTTGCTTCTTCCATGAGTAGTTTTCCTTCGAGGCACAAAGATGTGAAATAGTAAATACTCCACAAATACATAATTTATGGATTTAAGAATTTGGTTCCAGGGGCACCTTGGTGGCTCAGTCTTTAAGCGTCTTGCCTTCGGCTCAGGTCATGGTCCCAGCGTCCTGGGATCGAGCCCCGCATCGGGCTCCCTGCTCTGCAGGAAGCCTGCTTC